ATTCATACGCTCTCTGGACAAACGGAGTGCTCTCATCAAAGCCGACTGAACACAAACATCTGGTAGTCGGTGTTAGAGGCATGTGATTCCTCGAAGTCGGTCGAGACCTACAACAGTGTGTGAGGTCGCGAGTCGATCACCAAAAACACAATATCACATGATCGTCTCATCAACACATGTTTGGGTGTGATGGCGGGTGAGCGCGTTGATGAGCATTTCAATGTGTGTCTGTTCGTCGATGCCAAGTGGTACGTGAGGAGGTTACAAACGAATCGGTCGTGTTGAACACCGTCATGATGATGTAGATGAGGGGAATAGGGTGACGACGATCGTGGTCATTGGCGATTTGTCGGTGACCGTATTGGCAATGAACATGATGATGATAATTTGGGGGATGAGTTTACTCCACCATTGGGTTTCTCAATCTCCGTCAGTTAACCAACGCGTCGGTGTGAGCACACGATCACTCGATAAGCACAGTATATTTCCAGTGTGAGTTCATCTGAAATGTGTGAGGGTGTACATGTGTCGAAATCCCAACAGTACATATTGACGTGGATGTCACAATTGTATCGACAGTGATGTCCGATCAAAATGAAATTTACGAAGGTGATCTCAGTAAAGATGCCGATCAGTTGTCCATGATACACACATCAGAATAAACATGTTTGTGAGTGAGTGAGTGAGTGAGTGAGTGAGTGAGTGAGTGATTGAATGAATGAATGCACAGTGTATACATCTGTAGTGGCTTAGCTTCGTTAATCAATCAACTTGATAACCGTTATAATATAAATCCCACGGTGTTTGAAATCAGAAGACAATGAGAAGCGGCGACTACAGTTTATTTGCGGATAGCACAGATAACAAAGCTACAAGCACATCATAGTGAAATCGAATAAGGCACAGCTAGGCAAGGCAAAGGCTAATAATAGGATTCGATTACATATATACATGCGGAGGAGAACGATTCATCCGGCGATATTTAAGCTATCAACATTTAACCTAGAGAGAGATACGTACGTAGGCTGTCATCTGATCAACAGTACACGTTTATACAGACAAGATAGAGATGATGATGATAATAGTACAGAGAAATAGACGAATTGTTACTGTTCGAATAAGATAGTCTGTTAAGTAAGTTAATAAAAGGGCTTAACCCAAATTAACCATAATCGGGATTGATTGTAGGAGAGTTGCTGCACATCTGTACATATGTAAATATATTTTAATATCAATATGCAATTGAAACCTGTACATGTGGAAACATCGATAGTGTATTGTGTGATTGACTATTGCAATTGTCGTCGGTACTCGTCCGACGGATGAGATTGATATTGACGGTGAGTGAGTGTGCATGATATTGGGTCGATAGAGTTGTTTGTTGGTTTTATTAGTATATTGTGTGTTATAATGTGATTGATTGTGGAAAAGTGAAGGGGGCACCCGGGTTCGAACCGGGGACCTCTCGATCTGCAGTCGAATGCTCTACCACCGAGCTATACCCCCGATTTTGCGACTGTCACAACTTCACTACCCGAACACAACACCACACCACGTTCAACTATAAACACTACAATCAACGCACAACACCACCATCACCACAATCCCAACAAACATCCACACACAAACACTCACACGCATGCTTCGCCTGCACATGCAAACAATCTACCACAAAAACACGAAACACCAACATCATCATCATCATCATCATCATCATTATCAAAAACAACTACAACAACCACAACAACAGCAAAATCATCATTAACAAGAACACGCACATTCACACTGCCAACAAACAAGTCAATGAAGGTGTCGCGATGCAAATCCATGATGCGCATTCATACGCTCTCTGGACAAACGGAGTGCTCTCATCAAAGCCGACTGAACACAAACATCTGGTAGTCGGTGTTAGAGGCATGTGATTCCTCGAAGTCGGTCGAGACCTACAACAGTGTGTGAGGTCGCGAGTCGATCACCAAAAACACAATATCACATGATCGTCTCATCAACACATGTTTGGGTGTGATGGCGGGTGAGCGCGTTGATGAGCATTTCAATGTGTGTCTGTTCGTCGATGCCAAGTGGTACGTGAGGAGGTTACAAACGAATCGGTCGTGTTGAACACCGTCATGATGATGTAGATGAGGGGAATAGGGTGACGACGATCGTGGTCATTGGCGATTTGTTGGTGACCGTATTGGCAATGAACATGATGATGATAATTTGGGCGATGAGTTTACTCCACCATTGGGTTTCTCAATCTCCGTCAGTTAACCAACGCGTCGGTGTGAGCACACGATCACTCGATAAGCACAGTATATTTCCAGTGTGAGTTCATCTGAAATGTGTGAGGGTGTACATGTGTCGAAATCCCAACAGTACATATTGACGTGGATGTCACAATTGTATCGACAGTGATGTCCGATCAAAATGAAATTTACGAAGGTGATCTCAGTAAAGATGCCGATCAGTTGTCCATGATACACACATCAGAATAAACATGTTTGTGAGTGAGTGAGTGAGTAAGTGAGTGAGTGATTGAGTGGGTGAGTGATTGAATGAATGAATGCACAGTGTATACATCTGTAGTGGCTTAGCTTCGTTAATCAATCAACTTGATAACCGTTATAATATAAATCCCACGGTGTTTGAAATCAGAAGACAATGAGAAGCGGCGACTACAGTTTATTTGCGGATAGCACAGATAACAAAGCTACAAGCACATCATAGTGAAATCGAATAAGGCACAGCTAGGCAAGGCAAAGGCTAATAATAGGATTCGATTACATATATACATGCGGAGGAGAACGATTCATCCGGCGATATTTAAGCTATCAACATTTAACCTAGAGAGAGATATGTACGTAGGCTGTCATCTGATCAACAGTACACGTTTATACAGACAAGATAGAGATGATGATGATAATAGTACAGAGAAATAGACGAATTGTTACTGTTCGAATAAGATAGTCTGTTAAGTAAGTTAATAAAAGGGCTTAACCCAAATTAACCATAATCGGGATTGATTGTAGGAGAGTTGCTGCACATCTGTACATATGTAAATATATTTTAATATCAATATGCAATTGAAACCTGTACATGTGGAAACATCGATAGTGTATTGTGTGATTGACTATTGCAATTGTCGTCGGTACTCGTCCGACGGATGAGATTGATATTGATGGTGAGTGAGTGTGCATGATATTGGGTCGATAGAGTTGTTTGTTGGTTTTATTAGTATATTGTGTGTTATAATGTGATTGATTGTGGAAAAGTGAAGGGGGCACCCGGGTTCGAACCGGGGACCTCTCGATCTGCAGTCGAATGCTCTACCACCGAGCTATACCCCCGATTTTGCGACTGTCACAACTTCACTACCCGAACACAACACCACACCACGTTCAACTATAAACACTACAATCAACGCACAACACCACCATCACCACAATCCCAACAAACATCCACACACAAACACTCACACGCATGCTTCGCCTGCACATGCAAACAATCTACCACAAAAACACGAAACACCAACATCAACATCAACATCATCATCATCATCATCATCATCATCATTATCAAAAACAACTACAACAACCACAACAACAGCAAAATCATCATTAACAAGAACACGCACATTCACACTGCCAACAAACAAGTCAATGAAGGTGTCGCGATGCAAATCCATGATGCGCATTCATACGCTCTCTGGACAAACGGAGTGCTCTCATCAAAGCCGACTGAACACAAACATCTGGTAGTCGGTGTTAGAGGCATGTGATTCCTCGAAGTCGGTCGAGACCTACAACAGTGTGTGAGGTCGCGAGTCGATCACCAAAAACACAATATCACATGATCGTCTCATCAACACATGTTTGGGTGTGATGGCGGGTGAGCGCGTTGATGAGCATTTCAATGTGTGTCTGTTCGTCGATGCCAAGTGGTACGTGAGGAGGTTACAAACGAATCGGTCGTGTTGAACACCGTCATGATGATGTAGATGAGGGGAATAGGGTGACGACGATCGTGGTCATTGGCGATTTGTTGGTGACCGTATTGGCAATGAACATGATGATGATAATTTGGGGGATGAGTTTACTCCACCATTGGGTTTCTCAATCTCCGTCAGTTAACCAACGCGTCGGTGTGAGCACACGATCACTCGATAAGCACAGTATATTTCCAGTGTGAGTTCATCTGAAATGTGTGAGGGTGTACATGTGTCGAAATCCCAACAGTACATATTGACGTGGATGTCACAATTGTATCGACAGTGATGTCCGATCAAAATGAAATTTACGAAGGTGATCTCAGTAAAGATGCCGATCAGTTGTCCATGATACACACATCAGAATATACATGCGTATGAGTGTGTAATTTTTTATCTTTACAATATATATATCTGTAATTTCTTTATTGTTTTCATTAATATTTTGTTTACCCTATATATATATTTTGGTGTTTTTATTACAATATGTTTATTTTTTTCTATCTTATTTCTGAATTTCTTTTTAACAACAAGCTTTGCCAATTTGTTCATCGTTTTTTGCGTTAGTCTTTTTTCTTTTGTTGTTTCTTGAACATTTAATTTTAATTATGTTTATCTATAAATCTTTGACATCTTTTCTCTAGTGAAATTATTTATTCATTTTATTATTCAATCCGTTCTGTGTATTATTCTTTTCTTTCCACTGATTTTTTTATAAGTAAACGTGTGCTGATAATTATTCTTTGTCAAAGTTGGCGTTTAGTCGTTATCACCATATTTGTACTTATCCTATTAAATTTATCATTTTAAATTTTTTTTTTTTAATTTCAGTAGTAAATTTCAGTTGACACTCATAATTATCTGAATAACATAATAATTGTCACTTTGTTCACTTCCGGTTTTTCTGCTCTTTTTCTTCTTGTAAAGTATATAAATTTGTGTTCACTTTAAATATGGGAAATTTCGTACAATCGATATCTATAATCAAACGAATTAATGGTAAACTGTAACTATGTCCGTCTCGAGTAAGGTGAGTCGTGTTTTGGCAAGAGATTAACATTATGATAATTTACATATGTGGCTTGTATGGACTCGACAACTTCTGTCACAAAATAACACCAGATGAAAAATCGTTCAAATCTTGAAAGCACTGGATATTTATGTTCTCTTAGCAGCGAAATCTTAGCAGATTACATTCCTAACTTTATACAGGACAATATTCCACATACTTAACTCGCAACGTGGGAACGGAACCATCTAGTTGTTGAGTTGAAATTTTACTATCTGTGTTTCAAAGATTCATTATATTTGGAATACAGTGTGAGCATCATTCATTGTCATCAATGAGTATCCGTTTTTAATCTTGACTTCGATTCCTAAAGCCTAAATCTATTATCCAGTTATTCTCATTACGGTTACAATCTGTAATTTGTACTACTTTCAAGTGGTTTATATATATAACTAGGCATTGGTTAAATTTATCAGTATTTTTGTGTTTGAGTTATAAAACACCTTAATGAAAAAGTCCGTGCAAGACAATTGAAAAGTCAATCAAATAATAAGTAAATAAAAAAACAAAGGAGTAATTACAGTTGCACCGACTAACTGGTGTCAATGAAATGGGTTATAAAGAAAGTCAACAATCTGTAATTTCTATTATACTTTTACAGTTTTCTGGATGATTCAGAACTAAGTTTTTACCAAATATATAGTGAATAAAATTTATTCTAACATCACTTACGTACACACACAATCTATCGTCTAAACGCACTTTTCGTTTCACACCAAATGTTCATACACACTAAAGCAAATACCTAATTTAAACATTGTTAACGTTGATTGGATGACCTATTAAGTATATAGTTTAACAGAGAATTATGTACTTATTTATACTCGATAATTTTTATATTTGATTATAATTCCTTGAAAAAGCTTGGACCAGATTGCCAGATGAAACGTTGGATTTACTTTAAATTCATTCGCTGAGATTTTACAAATACATTATTCCTCCTTAATGTCTCACATAAACTCGGCGCCCAAATTTGTGAAACTACTAGATCAAATTTAGATGAAGGTTCAAATATTTGACCATAATATTCTAAAAATCACGAGGTTATTTTATCCAACTAAGACTGGTAAATAATTTACTTTTAGATTGATAATAAGAGGGTGCAGTGAAAATTTCAAAAGTCTAGTCTGAGTTCATTTCATTGAGTATATATTTTTATCGCAAAAAACATTATAATTAATTTTGATGTTACAATTTCAAAAGTTATAACGAACTCACAGGATACTTATAAGGCTATTCAAAGTAAATGGTCTTTATAAATCATTTGGTAATATTTTCCACATTCAGTATGGTTTAAAATACATTAGTGCATAAAACGATTGAATTTTGACAGACATCATCATATTCAAACTGAAGTTATTAAAAGAATAATTAAGGTCAGAGTTTCTCCTTAATATCAACAATTTATTCGGTGATTAACCAATCAATTATGATATAAATATCTAGATATCCCAAGTTTTTATACATAAATCGGAAAGTAATCACAGAAGTAAATTTTTACAAGTTCATCTAGTTTGTTGTTTTAAAATATGTTATAGGAAACCAATTTTTAAGAGTTAATAACTGGATCATATTACTAGAACCATTAATACAGTAGTACTGTTGTGAGATAGTAACTCACTGAAAACAATGGTGGATGTGTCTCTCAATTTCGTGGATTAGTTGAAGTTAGATATTAACATTATCAGATGCCGACTCAGTGGTCCGAGGTTAGGCGTTTGTACGCGAGACCAATAGGTCCTGGGTTCGAATCCCGCTAGACGGGATCATGGATGCGCACTGCTGAGGAGTCTCACAATAGGACGAAACAGCCGTACGATGCCTCCAGGTTTTCCATGTTGGTCTAGCTTCATTCATGATCTCAACTATTAAAATTACAATAATGTCTACAAAACCCCTTCTGATAATAGTAATTTTATTTGTTTGAATAATTCTATTCAAAATAATTTTGATGTATATACAAAAGATAAATTACATGACAATTAGGAGCTTCTCAGTAGTCACAATTTAACACTATTATGTTCTTATATTTTTCCAAGTTCAAGTGATAAAATATTTTTATGTTATATTTCTTATAATTGCTTAATAATTATATGAATCCATATTCTAATTTAGATTAATGTTATCCTATTGATACTCTTAGTCAAATTTGTTACTACCAATTCATCTTCGTATTCAGCTTGTACAAAACGGCTAGAAATATTATTTAGACATTGTTTGCTTTCCGCTTTAATTTCAAAGCGTTGTCTTGGTAAGTGCTAGAATACGCAAATAGATTTCGTTTTTTTTAGAATTTCTGCTAGCCCTTAGATTATCGATTATTTAGAAAAAACCAATCGATTATTAATTTAGGTGATTTGTAGAGATATATGAAGATTGAATATAATTTTTATTATAATCTGATGGTAGTAATAATTTTAGTAGTTTAGATCAGAAACCAAGGATTAACTCATTATTAGTGCAATATCTTAAATTTTTCAGAGATCTGCAAAATTAATTCGCATGATTTGAGCAAATGCACTACAACCTAACCTAATAAACGGTTTGAATCCCAATGGTGGGCTTTCATAACATTAAATGAAAAATCACCGAAAGAGAGAAAGCAATGAACACCCGATAGACTATTTAAATAAATGACTATGTCAAATATAATTTTTCGGCCACAATAATTCACAGTATTTTTGACAAAAAGGCATAGTAACATATGTTTTCAAGGGAAACTAGAAGAAATTAGTTGATATTCCCATATTGTACATATTTCTATTCAGCAGTAAAATTTTAAGCAGAACTTACATAATTATTCAAGTTCACTGAAATTCTCGTCATAAATATGGTCTTTAAATGAGCCACAGTTCCTATGTTTCGCCTAAATTTGTGTTTCTCTATTGATACTTGTTTTTTTTAAATTTTACTTAATAGGTCTGAACGAAAGGGTCATTTCTTCTTCTTATAGTGGCATTGAAGAATTGAAGAAACTTTGTAATTCATGTAGAGGCTGTGAAGTTTCATTTATGAGTTGTTCAGTTAGTAAACTGGACTCTATTGACAACAGAGAATGTTCACAAGCTAAAATGTATTCAAATACGTTTCGTAGAAAACTTGCAGCCAAATAAATATATAATTCGATATATAAATATTATGAATTCGGTGTTTCATTTTTGCAAATCAAACCGAAATGTATGAAGAATAAATTGATATATCTATATTAATTACTTTTTGAGCTTAATTTACATTTTTCTCTGTAAATAAACCGTTTATGTGACTGTTAGTAATAAAAGTTGATGGCCATAGTTTAAATCACCTGGACACCTATTTAGCGTCATTTCTATTCGATTTACTTACATTCAAAGTCATTTTATCGTATTACATATTTGCATATATATATATATATATATATATATATATATATATATATATATATATATATATATATATATATATATATATATATATAATATGCAACTTACAATTTATAATACGTATACTGATATTTATTGTGGGAACTAACTTATGCCAACTCAGAAAATGGGTTAAAAAAGCCTAAATACGTGTTGTTTTGTATTGTGAAGCAATCTACAAAAATTTATCGAAATCCCTATCAGTTAAAGGATAATCAGTTGTAAATACAGCCGAATGATCATATATAGTGCATGTAAATGAGAATTGTTATGAAGATAACCTCTATCGGAGTTTCTTCGCATCTCATACTTTCCAGTAGAATGTACCTAGATCTCAGCAGTAATATACATATTGAGAAGCAAATCATTATAATCAGTAACAAAGGCAAGAAATTTCATTGTTTAATTTTATCACTGCTAAGAATAAAGTTTTGCTTCAAGTATACTTAAACAAAATAACGAATTGGTCCCATTTATTACATACGTTACTTTGTCGCAAAAGTTAGGTACAATGGTTCGACGGAGAGATTACTTCTCGGCCCCAGCATTCTCCAAGCTTTACAATCGGTAATCTTGAATGAAATTTTTAAGATGATTACGTATGGACTTGTCAATAATATCGATATTGTGAATGTAGTCAGTAATATTGGGATAATGAATAAATGATTTGTGGTGTTGTTTATTAGTAAGCGATCCATCATAAAATTTAGTATAATCAGTCAATTAAATCAGTTAGGAAAATGAAATAAATATTTACTAAAGTAAATATACTTTTGTTAATTAAATCGACGTAGGTTGGACTATTTATTATTGATCTATTTGATTAAAGTATAATCTGGTTAAGTAACTACTTTAGAGGTTGAACTACGAAATCTTACCGGTAGCCACATCTTACTTTACTTTAAATATCTAACTTAGGTGATGATCCCATTGTTCACATTCCACTAAATTCACGGTCGATTTAGGCCATTCACCTAAAAATATAAACTGAAACGAATTAGAACTAAGACAATTAGTAATTGATTCTTTACACTCAAACAAAGTAGTTTGGAATTTAGCACTAATCCTGGTGTTCATGTAGGTTCGGCTTTAGTATCAGACCGAAATCTTATTATCAGTAAGAATTATCTATGTGCATAAAAGTTCCTTTGTTCACTGTAGTATATCACTTTATTCTAGTAAAATATATGAACAAGTAAATCTATAATAATGTAAATGATCATTAAGTATAGAATATACCACATGTATACTAGAATTTATTTATTCTATTTGTAATGAAAGTTATACAATGTTGAAATTTCTGACAGATGGACAACCTCAGCATATAATTATTTAGTACTGTTATTAATGAATTACATGTTACTTAATATACCAACAAATCTAATAAGAACAATTAATGAAATAGTTTAATTTATGTATATGATTGTAGTGAGTATAATAAACTGAATTTATATCAATTCACTGATCACTGAACTACCATCCATGCTACCTGGAATTAATTAAATTAGTTTTTTAACGTAGGTAGTCCTATGTCGAACTGTAACTCCGCCTGTAGCTCTTCTAGAGTTACTAGCGGTCCCAAGCCCACACAAAAGAGGAAAGTTGGGCATGCTGTCATCAACCTTATCCCGTACAAAACAAATTTGTAAGGAAACGCTAACCAAAAAAAATTAAACTCTGCCCTCCAAGTTGTATGACTTTCATTTGGAGGAATTATTACACCTCATAGTGAAAGCCAAGATTCCACAGAAGTCATAAGGTCGACACCTCTTCTAACAACTAGAACAACAATTAATATAGGTACATGGAATGTCCGAACAATTCGGGAGACTAGGAGGACCAGTCAAATAGCAACGGAAATGAGGAGATACAACTTGACGGTGCCCGGAATCAGTGATACCTATCGGACCGAAACTGGACAGAAAAATATAGATTCGGGAAAAGGGCTGTTGTACTTTGGTCATGAAGAAAATGCTTCGTACACTCAAAGAGTTGCACTGATACTATCCAAAGAATTCCTAAAAGAACTCAGAATGGGAATCTTATGGATCAGGGATTTTCAAAACATCCTTCAAAACAAAACACTAGGGGGTCACAATGAACGCATTCAATGTTATGCTCCTGCAGTGCCTGGTCCTATGTCGAGCCCACATGGGTTATTCTAGTTTCCGGACAGACCAATCTATTCATTCTCTTCAAACCACATTTTGACCTTGTCATCTATTCGTTTATTTACCTTTACTGTTTTGTATGTAAACGTATGTGTGTTGATTTCGTATCTGACTCATTACATTAAATATCAATTAACACATGATTAAATCGAGTTGGCTCACTCGTATTCACCATTGTGCGTCATTCTGTTTTGCTTCGCTTTCCAATCAACGATTGTATGAAATATAAATATTCAAAATGCATTCACGTATTTGACTTATTAAGTTCTGTCATTCACCAACGTGATTTAGGTCGATGATTATATACGAGGATCGGCCAAATGCACATTTTGATAATATGCAGCAAACGATCTACTTGGAGTCAGATCTTGAGCCACTAAAAACCCACCACTGATAGCAATGAAAATAACAAAGATTAGTTTTCTGAAAGGCTGCAATCGATCGAAGAGTAATGCTCAGGAAACGACCTGACCATTCTGATCGGGGACCTAAACGTCAAGGTCGGAATGGACAACAGCGGGTATCAAGAACTCATGGGATGACAAGGACTGACTAGGAGAAACGAACGAGAATGGTTGGTGACAGATTTGTGAATTTACGTGCATTCAACAAAATGATTACATGTGGCAGTATAATCACCCACGAACGCACACATAAGGCTACATGGGTATCACTGGATCACACTACAGAGAATCAGATCGATCATATTTGCATCACAGAGATTCAGAAGGTCAGTGGAAGACTTGAGAATCAAGAGAGGAGCTGACATAGTTTCAGATCACCACAGAGTGGTGGTTGCTAAGATGAAGCTGAAACTAAAGAAGCACTGAACAACTAGAGAAACAGCATTACGAAGATTCTTCAAGATACTGTCAAACTCAATGAGTTCAAGATATCTCTCAGCAACAAATTCCAAGCCTTACAAAGTATATTCAAGAAAAAAGAGGGAACTACTATGGAGGACAATTGGAAAGGGTTCAAAGAAGTACTAACTTCAACGTGCCAGGAGGTTCGTGGACTCAAGAAGCATCATCATAAGGAATTGATACCTATCGAAACTCTGTTTTGGATTCAAGAAATGAACAAAAAGACAGCAATTAACAACTCCCGAACAAGAACAGAGAAAGTCAAGGCACAAGCTAAATACACAAAAGCAAAGAAGCAAGTGAAGAAGAGCATCAGAGCTGACAAGAACAATTACGTGGAAGAGCCAGCAACGACAACGGACAAAGCTTGAAGTGAAAATATGAGGAAGCTATATGACACAACAAAGAAACTAAAAGGGAAATATAGTAAACTAGCGAGATCGATCAAGGAAAAAGAAGGCAAGACAATCACCGAGACTCAAGAACAGAGGAACCAATGGGTGGAACACTTCGAGGAACTCTTGAGTAGACCATCTCCATTGAATCCACCGGATATCGAAGCAGCATCTACAGGCCTTACTATTGATGCCACTCCACCAACAATCGAAGAAATCAAAATGGAAATCAGACAAATCAACAGTGAGAAATCAGAAGTTCGAGCAAAGAACATACCAGCTGAAGCACGGAAGTCAGACATAGAAGTAACTGCAAAGATGCTTCACGTTCTATTCAGGAAGATTTTGGAGGAAGAGCAAGTGTCACTTACAGACTGGAAAGAATGATATCTCATCAAAATCCCTAAAAAAAGATCTGAGCAAATGGGAAAACTACAGAGGCATCACGCTACTGTCATTATCAGAAAAACGTTTCAACAGAGTGTTGTTGGACAGGATGAAAGATTCAGTAGACACACAGGTTCGAGATTATCAGTCCGGATTCCGCGAGGACCAATCGTGCATAAATCAAATGGCGACACTACGAATCACTGTTGAACAATCAGTTGAGTGAAACTCGCCACCATGCATCAACTTCATTAACCATGAGAAGGCATTTGACAGCATGGATTGAAGAACCTCATAGAATCTTCTTAGAAACTGTGATGTACCCAGAAAGATCGTCAGTATCATACGGAATTCATACAAAAGACTACACTGCAAAGTGGTGCATGGAGAACAGATGATAGACGCGTTTCAAATGACGACCGGAATCAGACAAGGCTGCTTACTCTTCCCTTTCTATTTCTTCTGGTTGTTGATCGGATTATAAAGACCTCTACATCTGACAGGAAGCACGGAATACAATGGACAGATTGTATGCAACTGGATGATTTGGACTTCTCAGATAACCTAGCTCTTCTATCCCATACACAGCAAAAAATGCAGGTCAAGACAACTAATGTGTCAGCAGCCTCAGCGTCAGTAGGCCCCAACATACACGAGGGAAAAGGCAACATCTTGAAATACGACAGAGAGAACACCAACCCAATCACACTTGATGGAGAAGCTCTGGAAGGTGTGGAGAGTTTTACGTACTTGGGCTGCATCATAGAGAAAGAAGGAGTATCTGATGTAAATGTAAATGCACGGATGAGCAAAGCACGGGGTTCATTCCTACAATCAAAGCACATACAAAACTCGAAGCAACTGTCAACCAATATCAAAGTCACAATATTTAGTGC